GAGACGTCTGATTTGGTAAAGATACTGGACGCACACTTTGCAAGGATCATCCAACTGGAGGCATTGACCGTCGGAAATTGGAACAGCGTTGTGACATCGAGTATCGATAGAAGCGTTAAAGTGTGGAACATCAACAATATTTTCGAACAAGTTCATGTCATCGATAGACACGAATTGCAGATAGATATGATAAGGTAAATCCACGTTTAGTTAGACATCATATTAAATCAGTATGATCCATTAGAATTGTGTGTGATTCATCATATTGCGAAACAGTTTAGCCGAAGAGGGTAACTTGGCCGTTACGGTCACTAGAGATTGTGTGGGTGTTTGGGATCTGCAAACAGGCAAATTAATATCAAAGCTAGCCGATAGTCCGTTAGGGGCAATTGTTACACATGCTTGCATTACGCAGGATAGCAGGCAAGTTAATTTCATCTAATTAATAAGTATCTAATTAAGAATAAAATAGCATAAAAAAACAACCTTATTTTCAGATATATTGTGTCGACGGAATCAGGCAACATTCTCGTGTGGAATAGAATTACGGAGCAAGTGCTGTTCAAGGAAGAGCAAACGAATGTTAAACAGTTAACACTGATAGAAAATTCATCAAAGTTCTTAGCCGTCTCAAGGCCCAATAATCCTGCAGGAGTGGAAAACGTGCGAACTACGGCGACTCTTATTATGAGAAGTATTCCTGGTAGGGAGAAAAATTCTCGATGCTTTCATATCGTTAATATTCTAGAAAAAAGGTGAAGAAATATATTTTATATGCATATTAGATGGCAAACGGATATTCTCTTTGGAATATCCTGTAAGAAGTAATACCGGCACACCCTTCCGACAAGTTGTGATAACATCAGACGATACTTTTTTGGCAGTACCAGCAGCTGATAAAGGCAATAGAGATTGCATTATAATTTATAACGCTAAAACAGGAGCACTAATCAGTAAAATACCCATAAAATTGCCTGGATTTAAGGTAAAGAAGTCCAGTTAATAAATAATTCTTTCATTATTTTTATAACGAGTTAAACCATAAAACGCAATGAGAATTTAAATTTAAACACAATATAAGTTTTGTCAAGATTTGAAACATTTTCAGAAAAAATGTTATAAATATAATCATTGTTAGAAAAATCTGTTAACAGGATATTGTATGTATCACTCCTATGCCTAATAAATCGCAATGGATAGGAATTATTGGCTCCGATAAGGGTACAATTCTTGACATCAACAAGAAGAAAATCATACGTACGATTCCAAAATGGAGTGGAAATATTAGCAAGGATGGAAAATATACTTTGTATGCTCCTAGCAGGTGTGTAAATATGCGTATAGAAAGATTGAACATATATTGCTAAGTTATTAAATATATTATATGTCAGAGGTGGTCTCGAACTCATAGAGTTAAAGAAAGGAACAAGCGTGAAAACATACATATCCAAGGTAGCTGAAGGGGTATTTACTGTTATATCAATGTTTAATCGTACAGACGAGTATGTGCTTTACTATCACAGCGGCCGCAAAACTATTAGAGTTTTCAGGCAAGTATATCAAGTTAAAGAAAAAAGAAAAAGAAAAAGAAAAAGAAAAGAAAAAGAAGATAAGATTATGAATTTGTAAGATCACAGAAGATCATTTCTTGAAAGATCAGCCATCTTATTTGCGTTTATACATCAATTTAGTTTGTTAAAAAAAAATAAAATTTTATATTTACTAAAAAATATATAGTGTATATAGATAATATGTAAATAATTTGTTTTACAGATCTTCGGATTGTGAAATAATAGCAAATTACAGAGTACAAGCCGAGTTAAGTGCTATCGATAGTACACATGATGGCAAGAGCATTGTTTTGGGAACAGTCGATGGCTGTGTATCAGTATTGGCGATAGCTGATCCTAAGAAACCTGAGATGAGGGAGTATCTTGCAAATGTGCCATCTCGAGATGAGCAGGTAAGCGAGAAAATAGATTCAATGGATACTGATGTGGTAGATTGTGTCTTTTGCATTACTATTCTGACTATTGAGTTTTGATATATAATCGATATTCATGCTATGCATTCTTTATTTTATTGTAACATTAGCTTCACTACGCTGTTTTGTTAGTTAATTCGTTACAACTAATAAGACATATCATATTTATGTGACATAAACACAGTCTTACGACGAAAAATTAAAATATTCCAGCATTATGTTTAATGTTACAATGTTGAAATAATTCAGAAAGAAGGATCATTCATGTTTTTGGCTTTCTCATAAATGCAAATTTTTGTTTTTTATGAATCGTTTCGGAAAGTTTTGCCACACATTTAATTACATTTAGTATATAAATATGTTTATTTTTTTTTTCATTGTTGTGACGAATTATAACAGACTAATTTGGCTTATAAAAACATGATTTCTATGTTTATATAAAAGACGAACCGTTTCTTGATCAAAATTTTCGAAGGAATACCTGTGTTCTTGATGATTTTTTTCAAAATTATCACTAAAGTTTAGAAGAAAGAGATTTATGTTTACACGCGCTTTTTATTAAGTTAGGTTATAGTATTACGATAAGAGTACGCAATATTTTCCTCATCAAAGGTTTAAACTGAGGTGAATTAAATCTCGGAAACTTACGTGAAATGTCATCGAGTGAAGCCAAATATTTGCGCTCGACTCAATCGTCTGTAATATTTCCTTATTTTGAGAATAATCGTCTATTTTTCTCCAAGAAGCGGTGTCCTTGAAAAGTTAGTTACCATCAATCTCGTAGTTATCGGTTCAGTTGCAGCCTATCCATCTTCGTCCTTCGTACAATCTGAGAAAACTAATTATATCATTTCGTATCACATTTTGACGACGATTCTTCGTTTTTTTAGCACATATTAAATTATACACATGTTGCATCTGTATTTTACCAGTTTGTTGCCGGCGTAAGTTACGAATCGCTATCGAACGAAATCCCTCTTGCTTTTTAATACGAACTTTCTGTCCTCTGATGCGATGATTAGTAGGAATAAAGTGTCAATACTCTAATAAAAAGCGAATGCAACTTTTGCGTTCACATCTCTATTGTCCACGCACAGAAGAGACAAAACACAAAACACAAAACCCGAAATCCGAAACCCGAAACCATCGCTTTCGCGCGATACCTCGTACTTCGTACCTCGTGTGGAAAAGCAGAGTTGCGTTCGAAAATCCAGTCTTCTTGCGCAAGCGCCAGATGCGTTCAAAAATCTATTCATTGTGTGAACTGGCATTCGATTGACCAATCAGAAGAAAAAGAGCAAGGATTTCTGATTGGTTAGTCAAACGCTGCTTTACCCGACGAGTAGATTTTCAATTTTCGAACGCATCTGGCATCGGCGCGCGAAAAGCGAAGTGCGCATGCGTGTTACGACCCGGCAAAATAATATAGTAGGAGAAAAATATGAATTTTGCTTCTACACGCGCGCAACCAACGGGATATAATAATCCTCTTATTTATCCACTCTTATAGTGGAAGAAGAAAACCGAGAAGCATCGAGCTGCATTAAAATTCAAGGCTGCCGCCCGAATTGCCCGTGTAACTCATGATTTATCCACGAGCGTGAGATCGACGAGCGGCGTTTCAGAAACGATCGAAGAAGCGAACGAGAATATGGAGTAATTTATATTTTAGCAATTGTACTCTCCAATTGTTGCGTGTGTGCGATATACACTTTGTAGCTAACTGTAGTTGTACTTGTTAGCGCTAGATCGTGAAAGCGGCCAGCTTGGTCTTTCAACGCCGATGAATCTACGATAGAAATCTGTAATTAGTAATTAATGGATCGCTTAATATAGGAAAGGCGATATACCCATATAATAAATACTACAGGTACAGAATTTATATTACATTTATTTTTGTTTTTTTCGTGTAACTCTCTTCTTACAATCTCCCTCGCGCACACTTGTTCTTATTTATTCTCATCGCTCCATTCAGAATGGAATTAAAAAGGGTACGAAATGTATTCGATTTTTCGGCGAGGTCGATGTCAGATCTCGCGGATAAATCTAGCATAAGTCGAAGCCCTGACTTTTTTAAATTACCTTCTTGCGACTCGGTTTGCGCAAGAAAAATAAAAAACGATTAGCACACGTATTCGACGATTTTCGAAGCCGTCAAGTGTGTGTATGATGAATCGTAATATTTTTTCGATACTTTTCCTGATCGATTGAAAGATTTTCGAAAGATTCATTATGCTAGAGGGAATAGGGTGAAATTGTTCATGAATAAGGCAAAAAAAGCAAACTTGAAGAAATGAGGTTATTTAAATTGACCCTACGCGTCTTGATTCGCAAAATTAGGATAAGAAGCACGGTTGCTGACTCTCAATTAAAATTATTGGTATCCCGTTAGAAAATCTATTTTCTATCGTAAATACAAAGCAGAAATATATATCGCAAAAGACATTCGGAAATAATAAATGGAAACTCGCTTTCGTCAGCATTTAACAAAACTGCATAATATTATACCTTTTTTATTTAATGATAAAAAAGCTGCAAAACAGTTATCTTATCGTAATATTTGATCGTGATGATCTTACCGATGATAAATCACAATTTATTACTGACAAAATTACGTAATTGAGCGGATCGTTCGCGAGATGTCGATAACTGTGCATTTTATCTTACTTTATTTGCGACCCGTGTTGTCTTTGGGAATTTGATGCTATTTGCAAATGCTCGAGCCGTTTCATACGGGCTTAAATAATATATATTACCTTACAAATGCGCGGATTCGCGTTTAAAAAGGGGAATCCATCTCAATTCATGCTAAAATACGTTTCATGCTTAATGTCGATAATCAATAAACCGACTGTTAAACGTATTTGAATTAAATTATTTGAACTACAGCACATTCCGGTGCATTGATATACATTACAATCGAATGTAGTATCAGTGGTGTTTAACAAATACGCGGTAGCTATTTGAATCAGTCGATCTATTCGCTTTTGTAGATTTTTTAGGCTGGTGACTAATAATTACGAATAATACATCTGATTGTATTTATAAAATGCTGCACATGCGATACTGTTAACAATACTCGGATTAAGAATGTGTGAAATTTTTTCTTTGAATTTGCACTTCATTTGTCCTTCTTCCATTCAACAAACGGACTGGAATTCGCTCGAAGATGCCGATTTTCCGCGATCTAGGTTTATCTATGTTGTTCTGTTGTCAGGCTGTTTTGCGTGTTTAATATCCCGTTAATTCTTCCTATTTCTCATCAAACATTGGGATTGCTTGAAAAGTTTTTTTGACAATCTTGATGGTGTAGTGCCTTTTTGAACTCTTATTGCAGTTCGCCGCCTTTCTGTGTCTGCTGTTGCTGTTGTTCCCGTTGTTGCTGCGCTTGAGCGGTATCTTTAATGTGTTTCTCAACCTGCCGTGGCAACAAAATAAAATATACTAATGTAAAATAGATCGTAAATAACACTTGCTGTTTTATATTTTTTATTTAATGATTTTCTTTGTCTCAATTTAGCAACAAAATGGATAAAAAAGATTTTTAAGATGTTTGTTCTTTTTAGAGAGATCTTTGTTAAAAAGCTAATATTTTTGTAAGAATTAAATTAATTTTTTTTTTTTTTTTTTTTTTTTTCTTGATTACTCTAAAATTGTGGTTTCGTGTTAGAAATGTTACTTGTTCATAAAAGAATTTACAGCACATAAGAAGCATACATATATGTATTAGTACATCCTGCTTATTAGATTTTAGCATTGTTTGCATTTACGTACCACTTTTTTTACATGTCTATATGCTCCAGATTCTGTGTTTCCATGCACATTGTCCACTTTGTATGGTGGTCTAATAGTGACATTATTAAATACAACAATATTAGCTCCATTCCACGTAATATCTTGAATAGTCTTTGAAATAGCAATAAAGAGTTTCTGTCCCTCTGGAGATACTCCGGCCTGCAGAGCCATTACCAGTCTCTTCTTCTCTTCAACCTGATTACGAACTCTTGTATTTAGCCTTTGTAAATTAAGGCTCTGTGGTGGTTCGCTGGTAGTAGGACTAACTTCTCGTATCACTTGAACATTAGATACGAGAGATAAATTTACTATGTGTACATCGTTTAACGAGGGTCTACCACTCGACGATGGACATTCTAGAAAGTTGTTGTTAAGGAATAGTCTTCTTTCATAGAACATAATAGATGAATGTTAGTTTATATAATTACATCTTGAAAAATTTGTGATAAATTTAAAATAAAAATACAGCGGATGGCAAGAAAAATGGCTTATAAAATTTGAGATCAATGGTTAATCTATATTTATTAAATTCCTAAGTCATAATATAATCGTAATGATAACATAATAAACTTGTGTATATATACTATCATCGTCATAAAATATTTTTCCATTGCGACGAGTCTCTGGAATTGAAGATGTGCAAATTTTTTTTTCATAGAGACCTAGTCCAGTATTTATTAAGATATTCAATGACACTGGAATCTATCTCAATGCTAATTCATATTACATTATAAATACTGAAGAATCAATGCAACTGCTTATGTCGCTCAAACTGCACTCTGTCAATCAAAATCATCACTGACAAGATATAAATTCGTGCAATCAAAGAAAAAAAAAAAAAATTGTGAAAACAGCGATTGTGACCACGTATTTTTGAGACGGAATTTGCGCGATGTCACTGACACACGATAACGACGACAAGATACGCGAATACGGCCGACGATAAAACGACGAATGTGTCCGAGGTAGAAAGGCCAACGCATGGTTGATGATGAATGACTGAACTAACCTGACTCGCGCCACCGAGTTATCCCGAGCGTCAAGGATTCGCGATGGCCCGAATGGCAGAGGAGGAGAATGCGAGGGGCGAGTCGGATTGCGAGGAACGTCGCGTTGATATTCCGGTGCAGCAAATCACGGCGACGAACGTCTCGATCTCGATGCCGTCGTTATTCGTTATTTACACTACGCGTCTCTGCACGGCATGGGCATGGGTATGGGCATGGGCATGGGCATGGGCATGGGCGCGCGACGTCGGCGACGATCGGCCGCCGTTTTCGTCAAAAGGATACTTAGTATCAGCATTTTGGTCTGTGGATCGAATGCCAGTACCTCACCTTCTATCTCCTGCTCGTGGCAGGTTTTACAAAGCACCGTGCTCCCGATGCTAAACCAGTCGCTGGCTCCGGCCATTTTTGACTGTCGGCAGTCGGCGGCCTAGCGGCCTAGCGGTCGCGCCACTCGCGCCACTCGCGCCACTCGCGCTGTGCATTTCCCGCGGCTGCGCCATCTAGCGCAGGCGATTCACTCCGAATATCTGGCTTAAAAAATTTCACCGTGCACTAGTGTCATCTTAACGGCTAAATGGCGGGAAGAAACTAAAGCGCACACAAGTGAAAAACGGAGGTAAAAAATTTCTGCTAAAACACATTAAATATCTATTAAATTATCATCGCGACGTATCGACGATGATTATGCAACTGATTGAGTAACGCGCAATCAACATAAAGGAGAGAAAAGTGTTCGAATGTCCGTTATTTTGCAATTATTAATAACTCGTTGATACGCCAGTAAGATGATAAGAGCCATGAGAACTATGATTATAAAAAATAGAAATAAAACACACATCATTTACATAATGTACATCTCGAGAATTCACTTTTTATATTTCTTGTTCTTTTCTCATCTCATCGTTTCTTTGCTGCGTCACTTCAAACATTTGAGAAGAGAGATAAAGAGAAAGAGAGAAATATATATATGTATATTATGCAGTTTATTTGAAGTTATATAACAAAAGGTTTGAATTTTATTTATACTCTCTGTGCGTTTTGATATTTTAATATTATTTTTAATATTTTGAAAAATTTCGTATTAATACAATTATTACAATTATTATTACAATTAGATTAATTGTATTAGTTTGCCTAGATTTCTACGTTCAATAACAATTGCGATTAATACGCTACTTCTCTCATTTTAAATTTCGAGGGTTGGCAGCACTGTTTTTCGAAACGCGTCGAGGTGACTCACTCTTCGCACGTTCGGCAAATCGCTCGGTGTATTTTTCGCAATTATTACTGTTTAAAAGTGGCGAGTTATCGCGAGTGTTTTTCGTAAAGTGTCGTAGTGCATCGAACATCGCATAGAATTTTATTATTATATATCGATGCCGCGATTTTGATGTCGATGATCGACTTTCATGATTATCGTCAGGTATGCATGTGTATATCATACATATATCGTCATATACTGTCATTAATCACTATAATTATCCTTTTCGCAACAATCGCTTAGAATGATTTTGATCTGAATAATATAAATTTTGTATAACAGTAAGATATATATAGTATATTCTCAGAGTTGCGCAAAATTGATTGCGCCGACGATTTTTTGCGGTGATTCGTCGGCCATTTTCGGACGCGTCCGTCAGCGCTCGGGTTGGCGGGCAGTTCGTCGTTCGTCGTTCGCGTGGCGGGTGGCGGCGTGGCGCGCTACGTCTCCAGTTTGCAATCGGCGATCGGGCGTAGATGTCGTGTGTCGTGTCCCGGACACGGGACGTTCGGTCGGATCATTTTCTTGCGACGCGTGCGAAATATGGAAGTAATGGCTCTGTAGCGCCATCGAGATTATGTTCTGCCTTGAAAGTCCGCCAATCAGACGATATGGCGCGATGGCAATGAAACGAATGTACGCTTCGCGAGACGTGAATCGCGTTTAAACCAAAACCGTCGGACGACGATAAGTCGGATGTGCGATCCGTTTCCGCATGAGATACAACAGTATATAATATCACGTGCAACGATGTGCCATTATATCGACAAAGATACTTAACTGGAAAAGTTAAGGTATGCTGAATTTCTTTAGATTTGCCTATAATTGACTGTAATTTATGCGTTGAGCTGATTTTTTAAATATTATTTATTATGCATCTCGTTGAAACGGTGGTATATGCTTTTATGTCTCCTTAAAAAGATATATAATAATATAATACGTTTATTTCCATAATGAACAAAACATTTAGAGAAACAGATAATGATCTTCTATAACTTTTGTTACATTAAACTGCCACAATATATAATGATAATGTATGCATATATTGATTATTTAGCACATCTTTTCTTTATAACACACAATAAATTTTAAATAGAAGCTTATATCTTATTTGCCGTATTTTTTATATTACAGTTTTGTATGCCTTTAAAATCATAATTCTTTTCCCATGAATCTTCCATGAATCTTCCATGAATCGGATCCACTCTTTATTTCATGTATTTTTATCCTTCACGATGAATGCCATGTTTTATTGTATCATACTTTTACTTCAATGGGTCTTCATATCGTGCATACCTGTTGATTCTACAAAGCTTTCTTTTATCCTTTCGGCCATCGACATTCAATTTCACATTCAATATAAATTCTCTCATAATTTAGAGAGAGAAAGAGACTTACAATTAGTTGAAGTATACTTATCTCAAGCTCTTTTCTTGTCGAATTTAATACCTCTGCTCATTATGAATGTATTATGAATGTGAAGATTACGAATTACATCTCTCTTTTACATTTCCTTTGATATATTACTTACATATAAGCTCTTTTATTATGAATATACTCCTTTGATTAACGAGAATGTTTTATACGAAATATTTATATTATATATTATAGTTACCGTGTATTAAATGTTACCTCTAATAAAACAATTTTACAAATATGTCTCGTATACACATCGTGTTGCAAATTGAAATACAAAATTAATACTTCTAATTAAAAAAATAGTAATGCTTCTTCAACGGTAGATATTTAATAGGTACTTTGTGTTGATGCACAAACACAATGCTGTCAAACGGATCTCTGTTAGTTCATTTTTTTCGACGTGATTATTCGTTTAGATTTCTTGGCTCGCCTAAGGATTCATTTTTTCCTGAAATGCACTCGCAAATCAATAGCAAGCATATATTTCGCATTTATTTCGTATTGGATCGAACGCATTATGATGTAAAGCTCTTATGTCTTATATATAATCGAGTCAAATTTTATTATATGTATATGTATATATATTGTGCGCGAGTGGTGAAATCTGAATTCGAGGATACTCTAGCGGAAAATAATCGATCGTAATTGAAGAATGGAAAACAGAGGTCCTCTTGTTATTTATTAAAATAAATATGATAAAATATATGAGAAGATTTTCGAGGGAAAATTTGTGAATTCTATGTACAAAATATATAAAATATGTTTCTGCTTTTATACGAGAACAAACATTTCTGTTTCTATTTACATTAGCTTCATTTTTTCATTCGTATAACCAAAAATATTAACGATTGTAAAATATAAAATATAATATTGCGAGAAAGAACATTTATTATTTATGTATAACAAACAAGAATTTTGATCTTAAACGCTGATGAGCAAAAATTCATACATTTAATAATAAATATTAAGTTTGAGGATAAAATATTTTTGTACTTTTTAAAGAGTTAAACGGTGCAATTTAATAAATATCAAATGATTAAACACGTTTCGACAATCGAGAGAACTAGACTATTCATCGACAATATCTGTAAACATCAACTGACATCAATTGAAGGTATATTGCTACTTAACCGTCTGTTTAGTTTCGAAATTCGAGCATTAGATTCGCTTCGTAAACTTGAAATGTTTCTATCGAGATAATTTCAAAGCTCTCATTTAACTTGCAACTTCATTGTTACTCCTTCCGTTTGTTTTAATAGTCGGTTCACTTCGTTCGTTCATCACTTAATAAAACGCAGGACATTATAGTTGCTTAATAGACTTGAAAAAAATTTGATTGCTTTTCGTATCGTCTTAATTTTTTATATTCTTTGATTTACTTTCAATTTTGTTGATCATTCGAGGATTCTTTTTATCTATAGGTCGTTCGATGAAAACTGAACATCGAGATAAAAACTAAGTGTGAAAATAGTTTAAATTGACTTAGTGGATTAAATAGATAACCTGATTGATATTCTTCTATTAGATTATTACCCTCCAGGCACTTTACTAATTGTCTATGGACTATTATCTCTAGTATCTTTTCATAAATCGGTTTTTTTGATCAACTTATTTATTGATCTAAATTTTTCCATTTTAATCGTTCCTTGCGCTTTAAACACTGGAATCACTACCGCTTCTTTCCACATTCGCTAGGGAATATCCTTTTCTCTAACGATCTATTTAATATGTGACATATTTCTTTATGTGCTACTGTTATTACAAGTTTCATTATTTCTAGTTATTTCTTCCTCTGTATCATTTTTATTTATTAATTTTTGAACTAATGAATTTAAATTTTTGAATGCAACTGTATTAAAACCTTTTAATACATTTTTTTTAGAGAGAGAGAGAGAGAGAGAGAGAGAGAGAGAGAGAAAGATTGAATTAAGTAGTTAATAATATTTATTTTGTAAAGTCACGAATTCTGTATATTGAAATGACATGATAAATAGGTGCAATTTCTTGCATATTATGAGCTTTTACTCGACAACATCGAGTCGCGGCGAGGGAATCAAAAAGCGTGAAGCGAGGGGGGTGATGAAGTGAAGCGAGGGGGGGATTTAAGGCGGGAGGAGGCACGAACCAAGCATCCATCTCTTCCGTGGCAGCGGCACTGGCGTGGCTGTGTAGGGCGTTTACACACTTCCTCAGCCCGACAAATAATTGAGATCTGTAAGTGAGATATACCAAAAGCTTTCATAACACATAAAGGAAATTGAGGAACAACGCTTCTCAGCACACAGAGCTAAGATCGCTATGTACGCAA